AAGGCTGCAACCTGGAAACAAAGTGCTTTGGTTGTATTTCTACAGATATCTCTCAAAATGTTATCCTTTGAGCTGGAATATAGTGACAGATGTGTTTATGACTACTTGCTCATACATGATGGAAGCCGCCCTGTGTCACCTGCAGTTGGCCCTTATTGTGGGACAGAGAAGGTTGCAGACTTTACTTCCACTGGGAACTTTGTGCTGGTTGAATTCCACAGTGATTTAGTGTGGGAGTTGCCTGGATTTGTGATGAGTTATACATTTGCTAGGTAAGTAAAATACAGACGGGGTTTGAAAAACACAGAGTGAGAGTAAGAGTCCAGCTAGCCTCAGGTAAAAGCCACCAATTTCAGAAAAAAAATATATAGCCTGATACCTTTAACAAGCATGAAGTTTGACCTCTTAGTCAAACATCTACAGTGGTGTAATTTCCATGGTGAATCAAGGACAGAAATGTTCCTGCCCATGGGATGCTTCTGTCTGAGACTGTATGCTTTTTGTTATAGTATTCTCATTGCTGGTGTTGCATGGCCAAACACAATAGCAGAGCTGAAACTATGTAAGCAGATTTTCAAGGACTTCTTGTGGTAGAAACTGTGTCCATAAAAAAATTCAGAACACGACTGTGTAGCAACTTTAACCTGTATTCTAGCAAACGCTATTACCCAACCTAAATATGCATTCCAGCATGCATACAGAAAAATCTTCAGACACATTTATTTACATTTTGAAGCCAAGATCATATAGGCACCAGAGCTTAGCCTGTAAAATCACCATCTGACACCAAACAAGTGGTGTCATAGTACAGTATGACACACAGTACCTCAACTCAAAGATTTGCACTACTCCTCTGTGAGATGGACCAGGTCAGGGAACAGATTTAACTAAAAAAACTAAAGTTAAGAGTAGCAGGAACAAGCACTGAGGGAGAGGGAATGGAATGAAGCACCTGCTATTGTCACTTTGCTGTGGCCTGAGTCAGGTATTGAAATTGTCCATAAGGTGCTACCAAAATACTTTTTTAAAAATGAGGCCTGAAAACCTAATGCAAAGACCACTGAGTGTTCTCTCTGGAGAGCATTTTAGGTTTGAAGTACCTTGTCTGTAGAGAGAAGTCCTCCTCCTCTAAAGAGATGGCTGGAGTGAAGAAAAAAATCACCACTGTAAACACCTAACACTTTGCCTCGACTTGATGTATTCAGAATTAAATGCTAGTGCCAAACTGAGAGATGCCAAAACATTATGAATAATAAAAGACTTTGCTGAAATTATGTCTCTGTGAAGAAGAGCACGTAGAAATTGCCAATTTGCTTTCCTGGTGCAACCAAGAAAATTTTGAATTATGATGAATTTGTAGCAGTGGGGGCGAAGGGTTTAAGATCTGTAATGTTTTGCTTTTTAAGCACTGGTTAATTTTCACCCACAGAAGAATGATAATTGATAAGTTGGGGACATCAAGGTTTAGAGCTTTCTTGCATCATGGTGGGAAAGTGCATGCACAGCAGGCAACAAATATTTGTATTTCTTACAAGCTCCAATCTTCTGGCTATAAAAAGCATTCCTTCATTTAACTTGACTCACTATTTAGATTGGCATATTTTTGGAGAATGTAACCATTTCATCAGCATGTCAGAAAATTAAACTCTACTTCTATTTTTAAGCTCAGCTTCTGACTGTAAAAATGCTAATTCTTCTCCTTGAGTCTGAGGACTTTGATGGAGGTGCAAAAGTAACAACCCCATGACAACTGTGATTATATAATGAAGTTGAACAGGTCTCTGTTTTAAACAGACACTGCTGAACAGCCTTGTAACTTGAGTATGACTTTAGATTCCCTTCCCTTGGTCTGATGTGGAGCTCTACAGACTGCAATGTTTTAGATGTTTACCCATACTTGGTAAAAGAGCATGAATAGCATATTCCAAAAGCAATATACCACATACAGGAATATTGGTCTTGCACTTTGTCCCTAGAAATACAGTTTTAAGTAGGACATTACCCATGAATAAATACACTCACATTCTGAACTATATGAAAGAAGAGTAACCAGCTAGTAGACACAAGGGACAGTATAGTCAAAAGTTTAAGGTTCAAATACCACAATAGGAGGATTTTCAGAAGTTCTAACTAAAGTTCAGCACTCACTTAACACACTATTGAAATCCAAAATGTAAGGATTTAACCATAAAACACAGAGGTATCTAGCAGTGAGGAATATATGCATTCCAATAGATGTGCATAACTCATGACACAAACAGGTATTACCTTAAGTGCATACAAAACCAGATGTTTTTAAAGAGAGACTCACTTCCAGAAGCCTGTGTTGTGTAAGAAATAAGAGTGTTTGTGCCCACATATTCCTTTTTTACCTGCTCTCCAACTGTCCTGGTTCCTGCCTGGGAGGCAAATCAGAGCCTGTGAGTGCTATGCTTTTGTAGTCTGTAAGAACCAGAACAGAGATCTGTCAATTATTGCTGCAGGAGAAAAACAGCCTGGAATAAAGCATTACAGAAGCACAGAAAAACCTGCTACTCATAGGTCTATTTTTGTGTTTAATTTAAAATACATTTTCCTTACATAAACAAATAACTGTGGTTGAGATGACGCTTGCTTGCATGACTACAACCCCGGTTATTGAATCATAGAACAGTTTGGGTTGAAAGGGACACGTAAAGGTCATCTAGTCCAAAACCCTGCAATAAGCAGTCATCTTCAACTAGACCAATTTGCTCAGAGCCCCATCCAACCTGACTTTGAATATTTCCAGAGGTGGGGCATCCACCATCTCTCTGGGCAGCGTGTTACAGTGTCTCACCACCCACACATAAAAACTTTTTTCCTTATCTAGTCTAAATCAACCCTCTTTTAGTTTAAAACCATTGTCCCTTGTCCTATCACAGCAGGCCCTGCTAGAACTCTTGTTCCCATCTCATATAAGCCCCCTGTAAGTACTGAAAGGCTGCAATAAGGTCTCCCCAGAGCCTTCTCATCTCTTGACTCAACTCGACCCAACTCCTTCAGTATGTCCTCATAGGAAAGGTGCTGCAGCTCCCTAATCATCTTTGTGGTCCTCTTCTGGATGTGCTCCAACAGGTCCTTGTCTTTTCTGTGCTGAGGACTCCAGACCCAGACGCAGTACTCCAGGTGGGAGCTGCCCAGAGCACAGTAGCTATAACTTTGTAGGACAGAGAACGTACAACTTCCTGTGCAACAACTGAGTTTGGCAGGAAGACACACAAACCAAAGCCCATTTAATCTCTCCAGCACTTCAAATAGAAATTGAAAACCTTATAGGCTAAGTCGTCACCTAGGATTTTATAATCGAGTTCGCTTTACCATGGGAAACAGCCGCGGGCAAAAAAGAGAAATAAAGGAAAGCTGCTGCTGCTCTGCTGCCAGATGGCCTTCGCCTCAGGAGCCGGAGAACCGCGGGGGCTGGGCCCCCTCTGGCGGACACCTGCAGGGAGCGGGAATGGGAACGGGAACGGGAACGAGAACGGGAACGGGAATGGGAATGGGAGCGTGTAGCGCCGCTTCTGCAGACAGGTGAGAGGGAGGGAGAGCCCGGCCTGTGCCGTCCCGCCCGGGCGGGCTCCCAGCTCCGCGCCGCAGCCCAGCCGCCCCTCTCCGTCTCCTTAGCGGGATTCCCCCGCTCCTCTGCCGGCGCCGCTCCAGGGGTGGGAAGGGTCCCTTGGGTTACTGCTTGTCTTTTCTCTTCAAGAGCTGCACTCCAAATTCTACCTGTCAGTCGGTAGGTTGCACTGTAACATCAGGATTGAAGTCTTCTGATCCTGTTTTCCCACTGAGCAGCTCAATAGCAAAGACAATGAAGCCTTTCATGTGAGTTTATATGTGCCTCGATTCCCTGCTTTATGCCTACAATACCTGGAATGTCCGGGTGGTCTCTAACACAATTGCTGGACAGGTACGAAGTTTAGCTTCCAGTTGTCTTTCTAATGTTTTTTACCATTAAAAAAACTAACCAACAAGCAAACACATGCCAGAAATGAAAGATTGAGAGAGAAGAAAAGAAAAAATGAGAGAAACCCCCCCCCCCCCCCATTTTTTTTCCCTTTAAATTTAGCTTTATTCAGATATTAATGCGTTTTACTTCCTTGAAAAAAATCAGTGAGTTTCCTAATTTAATTGTGTGGGTCTTTACAACGCGGGGTTATATATTAAACTGGAAAGAATGCCCAAGGCACCTGCGAGCCCACGCGGTTAACAGGATGACTCATTTGCACTCCGTGACTCTTTTTGCAAACACTGCAGGGCACTTACTCCTGAGGGCAGGCGGATCAGCGCTGGCAAAGGAAGGGTGGGCTGGGGATAACTGGAGTTTTTTGACACTGTCCTGGTGCCTGCCTGGGAAGCAAATCAGAGCCTGTGAGTGCTATGCTTTTGTAGTCTGTAAGAACCAGAACAGAGATCTGTCAATTATTGCTGCAGGAGAAAAACAGCCTGGAATAAAGCATTACAGAAGCACAGAAAAACCTACTACTCATAGGTCTATTTTTGTGTTTAATTTAAAATACATTTTCCTTACATAAACAAATAACTGTGGTTGCAATAACGCTTGTGGTTGAGATGACACTGAATTGCAGTTCAGCTGATTCTTGCTATTCTGAGCCGGGATCTCACCACAGGTTTAGGACAAATAACCCCACCCAGAGTAGCTTGAGCACTACACTGCCAGCCTTAGAGAATACACTTTCTTGTTTTATTAACACCGAAGAATAGCTAATGCCCTCTGGGCCAGGGACCCTCCGGCGGGGGAGGGCAGGGGCACCGGACTGCACGTACCACAATGCATCGCGCGGCGATGGTAGCCGAGCCGGCCGGCCCCTGGGATCGTGTGGAACTCTGGGCAGTGTAGTTTACTTGCGGAGAGCTGCCTGGCCTCTGAAGGCGGGGAGGGAGGAGCAAGGGACTACAACTCCCGTAGGGCCGTGCGCGTCGCCAGCTCTGTGTTGAGGGGACGGGAGGGTGGTGTCCGCGGCTCCCAGCTTGTGACAGTCCCGTTCCCCGCCGATCCCTGGGCCTGAGGCAGCCGCAGCACCGGGCAGACCATGGAGCCTGGGATAGCGGGGGTGCAGCGCCGTGCCTGAGGGCGGGCTGGGGCGTACCGCTATGGATAACCGGTGCTATGGATGCGCGTCCAAGTTCTCTGTCTTCAAGAAAGAGGCAAGTCGGGCTGCGGGGGTCAGGAACGGGCCGGCCCCGCGGGAGCCTCCCCCGCCGTGCCAGGGTCTGAGAAGCGAACCGGGAGCTGCCTCGCCCGGCGCCGAGACACGCTTCCCGGCCAGCATCCTGGCGTTGTGGTCCTTGCTTACTGAGCTCTTATGGTGCCTAATTCCGATACGTCTTCAAATATGAGAAATTACCGACCAAAGAAACAAAAAGTCGTTGAATGCCATCCCTCTAATCCAGAGTTCTGTCATGGTCTCAGACAGTTCACACACACACTTGGCTATACTCTGGGGTGAAGTGGTGACTCTGCTCCCAGCAGGAGTTATCTGCTGGTGCTCCAAGGTTCTTGAGTCACTGTATCTTCAGCAGCAGCTGGTGAAACAGTTCTATCACCAAAAAATCAGCATAACCCCAGCATTTTTTTGTGTGTGCCTCGGCACGGGCACTGTGCCCGCAAGCGGCACCAGTGTGGTGGCGAGGTGCTGAAGCCCTGTCCTGCCCCTCTCTCCTGTCTCTGCAGTGTGGCTGCAAGAACTGCGGACGGTCCTTCTGCTCGGGCTGCCGGAGCTTCAGCGCTGTTGTTCCCCGCTGTGGAAACACCCAGCAGAAGGTGTGCAAGCAGTGCCATGAAAAACTAACTGGGTAAGACGGGAGTGTTTCTTCACCCAAAGACAGTTTGCTGATTTTTTTCCTTCAGTTTACATTCAGTGTGGTGTTGCAGATTTCTGCAGGAGAGCTCTGCCTTCCATATGTGCATGGATGCTGCCTGCACCCCAGAATCTCAAGACAGGACATCTCTGAACTTGTTGTTATATGAGCTGTGCAGTCCTAAAATAGGGATCAGGATTTGTGCCTGTTCTCTATGATTTGAAAGCATCAGGTTTAAATCTTCATGGATGGACACTGAATTCCTGTGGACAGCTTAACTAGATGGGCTGAGGTTAAGCCACACTGTGTTTTTGCCCAGAAATCTACACTGCTTTAACAGTTCTGGCAGTCTTCTCAGCTGTGTATTAGTTGAGTAGCCTGACAATAAGATGTTCAAAGTGTTAGTAATTCTGTGGGCAAGCAATGACATAAATCCTCCTTGTTGAGAGATCTCTGCTATATGTAGCCTGAAGATGTAAAGTTTTGTAGCCAAAAATCTATAAAACTTTTGCTTTTAAAAGAAAACTTTAAAAATTATTTGCAAACATAACCAGTAGACTTCCTGTTGAAAACAAAACATGTAATTCAGTAGCAGCAGGATTATACGCTTGAACAAGCAACATAAGAACACAGGTGTATAACGGAGTTCCTCTGTCAACCAATTCTTCTGTGTCCTCCTTTTTCTCTTGCATTTCTCTTGTTCCTTTTCCTCACTTTTCTCCTATAGCAAGGAATTTTCACCAGCAAGGGGGGAATTTTCTGGCTCTGCAGATGTTGAAAGGAGAAGAGCCTCATTAGTGAAGGTCTTCATCTTCATGGGCTGTTGAAAACAGTGAAGGACAGTATTCAGTCTTTTCAGTTTTGAACTTATCATTTCCCTTCACAACTTCAAAGCCATTAAGAAAACAGAGCCACCTGTCTTGACGTTTCCTCTGGGTGTTTTTTTCTCATAATTTTAATATCAGCACTAGAGAGCTACAGCAAAAAAACAATCTTCCCTGACTGGATAGCAGGTAGATTATAGAATCATAGAATGGTCTGGGTTGGAAGGGACCTTAAAAGTCATCTATTTCCAGCCCCTGTGCTGTAGGCAGGGACACCTTCCACTAGACCAGGTTGCTAAGAGCTGGATCCCACCTGACCTCGAACACTTCCAGGGATGGGGCACCCACAACTTCTCTGGGCAACCTGTTCCAGTGTTTCACCACTCTCCAAGTAAAGAATTTTTTTCTAGTATCTAATCTAAACCTGTGCTCTTTCAGTTTAAAACCATTTCCCCTTGTGCTGTTGCTACGTGCTCTTCTAAAAAAAATCCTTCTCCGTCTTTCCTGGAAGTTTCTGGGAAGACCCCAGAGCTGAATGCAGCACTGCTGGTGGGGTCTCTTGAGAGAGGAAGAGATGGGTAGAATCCCCTCCCTTGCCCTGCTGGCCATGCTGCTTTGGATACAGCCCAGGACACAGTTGGCTTTCTGGGCTGTGAGCACACATTGCTGGGTCATGTCCAGCCTCCTACTCACCAGCACTCCCAGGTCCTTTTTGGCAGAGCTGCTCTTGGTCTGATTGTCCCCAGCCTGAATTGATACCAGGAGCTGCCCCAACCCAAGTGCAGCACCTTGCACTTTGTCTCATTTAACCTCCTGAGAGTCCCAAGGCCCACTTCTTGAGCTTGTGCAGATCCCTCTGGATGGCATCCTGTCCTGCAGGTAATACACATAGGCTGCAGTTCTGTAAGCTGCATATGTTGTTGTTCTGCCTGCAAATAGCTTTCAGAATTGAAGCCTTAGAACTGTGTAAAGCATTCCAACAATGTTGCATTCAGTCATTACTATATGGGCCATAGCTGTGATTTCTAAGAATGAATAAAATATGCTAACTAACTTACATGAGTGTCTAGTTTAGTCCCTCAGCAAAGTAGAAGAGTTAGACCTGTTTTAGGCGTGTAGTGTTCAAGTGTTTTGTAAGATGTTATATAATAACTTTTGTAACGCTTTGTTTTACTTGCATGTTATATAATTCTGTGTTTGTTGCATGCCCCAGCTCCTTCCAGAGTGTCCTGCTGCATGGAAGCTAATTACACTGGGAGTCTTACCTAAGTACTCCCTACCTGCCCCCTGAACTGGGAGGTGCAGGCTGTGGGAGGCAAGGGTGTTTCAGCCTTTGGATCACCGGTGACCGTATTAAGTCACATTCTGTCCAGATGCAAAACAACTGGACCAAAGGACAGAGATGAAGGCTCCTGCTGTCCTGGGCAGCGATATTGTCTTAATCCCTTGCATAAGCTGATTCCTCTCAGTATTAATGAGGTTAAGAAAGGGGCTGTACCAAGAGGTCAAGAAACACCTACTGATTCCACTTGAGATGAGAGACTAGATGATTGTCAGTATTGTCAAGTATTGTCAGTATCTTGAGTTCAGAGAAATCATTTTTGTCTTTCAGAGAAGGATCTCAAAGCAGTTCAGCAAAATGGTCACCACCAGAAAACTACAAAAAGTGAGTTGCACTTGCCAAGCAGTTCTTTCTGCTGCAGATGAGCCTTTTAGGGCCTCCTCTTCCCCTATGGATAGCAGTAAAAGTGAGGCTTGTGGTGTGGGTATTTGCTTGTTTAGAGTTAGATTAAGGATGGACTTTTTGTTTTGCTGTTTAGGCTGTTTGTTTGGAGGGGTGGGGGATATGCTTTTTGAATAGACTCCTGAACAGCCACCTGCCTGCAATTGTCTGTGGCTGACCAGAGTTGGCTCGGAAACAGGAGCCTTGTGCTGAAATGTTCCTTGTATGCTGGGAAGTGCTGCCAGATGTGTTGTTCTTGTGAGCTAAGGTTTTCCTTGCTCTTAGAAGTACTTTATTGTGCTGATATTGGAGAGAGTGATTTCATTTGTCTTCTGCACTGGCATTCTTCAGATAGCCTGTTGGTTTCACAGAGGATGTTTTCTTATCTCCAGGTTAAAATCCCTGTTCTCATTGACATGTATTTTTTCCATCCTTGTCACAGGCGTGTAGCAGCTTTTGAGGCTAAACAAAACCAGCTGAAAGACCAACAGAAGGCAGCTGCAAAATCCCCAGGTCGAGCAGGCTGCAGATACCAGGGGCTCTCAAAAGAGGATAGAGCTATTGCAGAGAGACTGGAGAGGCTCAGGGAGGAAAGGAAACCAAGTGAGTTTTAGAGAACACCATAAATACCTTGGGTGGGAACACTACTATTTGGGAAACAAGGAGCCTGGAGCAAGAGGAAAGTGCTGGGCTTTAAGTGGCTGTGATATTAGGGGGATGGAAGCTTAAAATAGGACAGAGCATCCAAGGTCTGCTGCCACAATAGCTATCTTCTACAATGATTTTAGATCAGTGTTCCAGTTTCATTTTGCTTTTTGGGGTTCTCTTGAAACTACTACTCAGTTTTGGAGTAGTGTCTTACCTGTAAAATCACTTCTTCATTTTCTGTTTTTTGAGGTAAAAACATGTGTCTAACCCACTTGGCATAGAATGAAATGAAAGTCTTTGGCCAAACTATTTTGAAGAAGGTTTCCTGTGGGTCATTGTCTTGGGCATCAGCAGTTCCAGTCTCTGTGGGACTATGTTCTGACCAGCCTTGTCTCACAGAAGGAAAAGGATTTTCATCCCAGTCCACAACTGTCAGGTTCTGGGACTGCTTTGAGGTGCTTGCATGAGAATAAACTATTTTAAATGTTATGTATAGTCTCTAAAAGGAAAAGAACACTCTTCAGAGTGGTTACCTGGTTATTGCCGAATCATCGAGTCCAGCTGTTAACCCAGCACTGCCAAGTCCACCACTAAGCCATATCCCAGAGTGCCACATGTACACATCGTTGGGGTACCTTCAAGGATGGTAACTCAGCCACTTCCCTGGGCAGCCTTTTGCAATGCTTGACAACCCTTTCTGTGAAGCAATTTTTCCTAATATCCAATCTAAACCTCCCCTGGAATAACTTGCAGCTATTGCCTCTCATCTGTTATGTGGCAGGGGAGAGTTTCAGTCTGATAAGGCTGGGATTGTATTAGGAGATGTGGGACCAGTGGACTGGACTGCCTAAATTACACTCATTTCTCTGCCTGTCCCTAGAATCCCAAGTCAGCTGATTTCCAGATGACATCAGCCTAATACTTGTGTTATGGCTAGGAAATGAACTCTGAAGAAGTCAAGGACTTGGAAGAAAGGGATGGCAGTTAGCATCAGGGTAGTCTCTGAGTCACTGCAGTATGACCCTTCATTCACGTCAGGGCTGGGCGAGGTTTTTACTCAGGCGTTCAGAGTCTGATTGCAGAAAGAAATACAATTTTAAGGAAAAAAACATGTAGCTTTTAATTTTCAATAACAAAATAATCTCCTCCCTTGGGTTATTGTGAATTGCAGAGTCCATCCCTACTCAGGCTGAGATTGAAGCTAGGCTGGCAGCCCTGAAGGAGGATGGCCGAGGACCTGTTCCATCCACACAGGAAATGGAGGACCGGTTGGCTGTCCTGCAGGGTAGAGATCCTCCTTCCCAAGCTCCCAGACCTGTAAGCTCCCTCATCTCTTTAATCAGCAATTTATTCTGAGCTGACACAGTAACTGGTGTCACAGCATGCTAACCATCCTTCCTTCTTCAGCCTTTTTGTGTCCAGGTAGCTTTCTTCAGAAATCTCTGTTTCCTGATTATGTCATTGCTCCCGAAGCAATTCACCAGCCTTTACCCATTCAAAGCTTCAATTTGAATGCAGAATGTGCCTTCATGCCAAATGTAGTTTGTGTGTATATTTTTAACAATAGATGCTAAGGTTTTTTACTCTCAACTCATTTATGTACATGAGTGGTCATAGTTTTTCAGAGCTGTTTGTATTGCAGACTTATCAGCCCTACCTTCTAATTACATCTTCTAGCTGTTACTGCATACCAGCTGGGCAGAATCCTGTTAATTTTTCCAGAAATGGAAACCCAGTGTGATTTGTCTGAGTTTGCAGAGGAACTAGTTGAATATCTGCCTTGAAAGCCTATAGGAATAATCTTGTCCCCCAGGATACCATTTCCTTATGGTTCTTTCAGCTGCATGCCCAGCTGTTGCCGTAGATCTCTGTGAGGCTTGCTGGCTGGCACTGTTGAGAATGGCACTTTGTTTACCCTGGAGGTAGTGGCAGAGCTGGAGTTGGGACCCAGCAGCATGTGTTTTTACACATTCAGCACCCCTTTGCCTTGTTTGGGTGACTGCACTTAGAACAGTGTGCATTCAGCACCTCTGAAAATGAAACCCTTACAAATCTTACACCACATAACTGTAAACTGAGATTCTCCATGTCAGTGGAGGCATCTTTGTATACTGCTCCCATCTAGGGTGATCTTGGTTGCCAAGATTCTCCTTTGATTGAGTACGCCACTTTCCTCTCATTTGCCTTTTCCCACACTCCCTGGCTTCTTAGGTGCACCAACCCCCGGATACCCGAAGTCTGGTCCAGCAGACAGATGACCTGTTAACTCAACTGTCTGAGGAGGTTGCCATTGATGAGCATTACAGACCAAGAGTTCAGCCTCAAGGTATCTGTTTCGGCTTCTAAAGACCTGTTTATGTCTAATAATGTATGTGCTATGCTGAGAAAGGGGTTTGTGCCTCCCTATGTAACTTACAGGTGAGCTCAGCGTCCAGTTTGTCCATATCTTCCCCTTATAATCCCTTGCACTGGGCAAGAGCAGCCATCTGGCTCCACCCTGGGACTCGGTGTCTTTGCTTGGAGATAGTTCCTTCTTGTCAAGATTGCATTATTCAGATTCTCTGTTTCTCTAAAGTGTTTCTCTCAAGTGTTTCTCTCCTGCCTGGAGAGGAGCTGTTGCTACTCCTAATGCACCTGTGCACTGTTGCAAAACATCAGCATCAGAATCTGGCATACCATTATCTTCCTGGCTGCATTGCTTTCTCTGTAAACTCACTCTAGGCCACAGATTAGCTCAATTTCTTCTCTTCATGTACAGTGAAGATCCCACTGGCATGCCTTTTCCTCTCGTTATCCAGTTTTATGGAGAGCAACAAGCTGCTCTCCTAGCATTATTTGTCATGTTTTCTGTGCCCAAGGAACATTGCTGCTGAGTCACCAGTGTGTTCTGTGTGTCTGTCTGCAGCTGTTAGTAGCCAGAGTTTGAATGATCTCAATCGGGGAAGTGAAGATTGTGTTTGCCCTGCAAATCTGGACCCAAAACAGCTAGAGGAAGAGAAGAACAAACTTCTGGCAGAAGCTGCTGCTGAGCTGCGGGAAGAGAACACTAGGCAGGAAAAGATCCTACAGGTTGCCAAGAGACTGGCAGCACTCAAAGGCGAGGACCCAGAGAAAGGTGAGTAGCAGATGAGAATACAGTGCCAAGAGAGGAATCAAATTGCTATGACAGAGTAAATTCTTTATTAGTGTTTATCCATTTAATTCTTCTGTTCTGCAAGAAACAGACTGAAATTTGGTTCTGTCTGCAAGGGTGTACAGGCTGGTTTGTCATTAAATCATTATGAAAGATCTAAGCTGAGGGTAAAGGCTGGAACTGTAAGGTCAGACTGCTTTGTCTTGCATCCTTCTTTGGGATAATTTTAGCATGCTTTGTTGAGGTTAACAAAACTTTTAAAAGCAAAACTCTGGTTTTGGTGGAGATCTTTTCCATCTCTCTTCCAAGTATTAAAAATAAACAGTAATGTCCTTTATGAGGAACCTGCACCTTAAAAGGTCAGAGCCAGAATGCCACAGCCAGCTCACACCACAAAGAATTGTCTCTGGTACATTAGTGTGCACAAGGCTTGAGGCAGGTGTGAGTTACAGTCTCACATTTCCTACTCCTACAGTTACACTGGAAACCTATAAGCTCCCTGACAGTGATGAGGAAGTGGCTGAGGAGGAGGCCATTCGCCAAGTGCTGAAACAGGTCAGAAGTGGCAGCTGTGGCCTTGTTTTTCTTCCTCTTGGTTATGCCTCATGAGTGTGTTACCTGGTGAGCGTACAAAGGTTGCATTTCTGTTCCTGAGAAGGAAGAGTTTCCTTCCTTACTTTCCTGGTGGTTTTCCAATACTAGTTCCCATGGGCCATTCAACTATTTGACAGGCAGTTGAAAACAATACTTCTAGTCTGTCACACTGTCTTTCTCATTCATGCTTAGAGTCTCTTGTGGTCTGCATGTGTCTCCTGCATAACCACACTTTGCTGCTACTTCCTCTCTTCTTGTTCTGTGTTTCCCTCCAGCCAGTTAGAGCATGGATGATGAGATGTGTGCTGTGTAGCTCAGCTTACGCTTACATTTCTCCCCAAAATGTCTCTGAATTGTCTTGCAGGCAGACCTGAGCTTCAATTTGTCTGATATATCACATGTGTGTGATTAGCATGATGCTGAGGGTCTGCTAGCTGCACTGCAAAGCAGAGTGTGTGAGCTGCAGGCCCCTGCTGCTGCAGACTGTCCACAATGGACACACAGTGTTCCGAGAGCAGAGTGAGCTTGCATCTGTCTGGGTAACACCAGCTGCATTCAGACTTGTCATCTCCTGTTACTGCATGAGAGCAACAAGCACAGGAGGCTTAGGGCCTAGAATGAGGCTGTGTTTGAAACAAGAGACTTCTTCCTTTGTGTTGTTACCAGCTCACAGAGGAAGCAGCCCTGGATGAAGCAAGTGGATTCAACATTCCCCCAGATCAGACCACCCAACCAGGACCCTCACAACAGAACCTGTGTAAGCAAGCAAAGCAAAAGGTCAGTGAAATGGTCAGGATCTCTTGAATTGACATCTGGAATGTTCCAGAGTGTCAGGAGAGTACAGTTCTGCAGCAAAAGTTTGTTGTATCCTAGGCTTGATGCAGAAAAAAAAATTAAATAACCAGTTTCTCCAGAGCTAACAAGCCAAGCAGCTTCTGCAAGGCTGACCAGCTCTGAGCTCAGCTGTGAATCATCCTTGTACTTATTAAAAGAATTGTTCCCTGGAATACAGTTCCTTCCAGGCTGGCTTTGAGTTGAATGTTACAGAGTTGTGTAAACCAAGAGAAGGTGGTAGACACCTCACAATATATATGTATAATAAGATCAACAAGGCCATGGTCTAGTACCGTACAATCTGAGCCAGAGTAAATGGGAGGTTTACCAGTGCTTTCAGCAGAATAGAATCTCTAAATAGCATTCTACTGTTCATGTTCTCATATAATATCAGAAGAAGGAATTAGTAGCAGGATACCCTATGCTCAGAGTGGATTCTAGCCTACTATGGAAATACATACATAATCTCTAATGTGTATTACAAGAATTAAATGCATCTGTGACTCACAGGCACCTGTTAGGCCTGCTCCCAGTGGAAGAAATTATATAATTGTAAACATTATCAAAAACATCCATCTCAGGTATGACACCTTGCATTTCTGGGATTACTGATGCAAAAGATAGTGTTAGGAAAAGATTGTGTCAGGAAGCTGCCTTTGCCAGTGTCCAGGCACGGTGTCTCAGTGTGTTTTAAGTTCCACAAGAGTTCTCTGTAAGGCAGAAGGAGGCCATAGTTGGCTGTATGGATATATTTAGATTATGATTTCAGAAGATCTTTTTGTCCCAGCCTCAGGTATGAATGAATAGTAGGGGCCTTTTGGCAAAGCACTTCCTTTGTCCCACAGTTTTCTTCCCACAACAGGGAGAAAACAATGCCCCCACCTCCACATTCCCTTCCCACATAGCTCCTTTCAGCAAAACTGTTTGATCTGTAGCTTTTGCAGCAGGAATTGTCTGTCACATGGTATTGTTGTGGTGTCTGCCAGAATATCTGAGCTTTATGCCCTTAACACAGCACATGCAATGTGGGTGTACGTCACTGTAGACACTAAATGAGGCTGAATACCTGTTTACATTCCAAGCAACATAGATTTAAACCCAAATTCTAGAAACACAATACCCCGGGTTTTTATTTGACAACTAGATGTACATGCAGCCTGTCCCTGCACTCTGTGCAAGTTCATCTCACAGACTTAGGAACAAAAGAGAGGAAACTGTGGACTATGGGACAGGGCACTGTGGCCATCATGTGTTACAGTTAAAGTCCTTTATTGTCCATGCTGGGGTTTGAACTCTCTGTCTCTTGTTTTCTGTGTGAATTAGAGCCACACTCCAGCCACCACAGCTCTTGCAAGGGCAGATGATAGTGATGAGGATGAGTTACCCTGGTGCTGCATCTGCAACGAAGATGCCACTTTGCGCTGCCATGGCTGTGACGGGGATCTCTACTGTCAGCGCTGTTTTTGGTGAGTCTTGCAATTCCTCTGGGTCTGAGCAGTGGGTCAAAGGTAAGCTTGGCCCCCTTTGTATGTTTTTCTCATTAGGCAGAAAAACAGGCAGTAGGAGGCAAGATGTGAGGAATCCAGATTTGAGCTGAATGCTGGTTGTTAGAGAAGTACTTTGTGAGATCAGTAGTTGTTCCAGGCTTCAGGAACTAAACTAGTACTAGGCAGAAATGCTTCAGTGCATGTTTGGGCACATTGTCTGAGTGTTCTCTGGAGCAGCTGCTATGCTGCATTACGTGGGATGGGATAAATGAGACCATTGTTCAGTGACTCCTATGGCTTGTTAATGCCATTGATGGATGACCTAGGCTGGATTCCCTTAAAGGGGGAGATCAGATAGTATGAATTCCTGAGGGTTTTCTTAGGTTGAGACTTTGCAATCCTAAACCATATTAAAAAATTCTTTGTTGAAATATGTATGTGTGAGCCTTTTTTCACCAGTCAGGCTGGTGAAAGACTTGCAGCAGCTGTAGTCTTTGTTCTTAAACACGTGTAGCTTGATTTTTGACAAAATTTTCATGCCTCAGATTTGGAGGGTTAATTCATTTGAATACAAAGTTATTCCTAACAGGTTGTGTGACTTCTCTTTTTTCATGCTTCAGAAGGATTGGGTACTGGCTGGGTTCTCAGATTTGTGCGGGATGACATTAAGACAGCAGGTTGCTAAAGATGTGGTTGGGATAATAAGAGATGCTTTTTGTGCATATTCTCTCATTTCCTGCAAATGTATTTGTAGGAAAATGCAAGTGCGGTGGGGGAAATCCATATGAAAATGTTCAGAAAACATATGACAGACAATGTTAGATTGTTAAAATAAAGCATATGGACAAAAGTATCTGACAGCAAACATCAGTAAAAGCAGATTTAGCAGTTTGGCAGGTGAGTGTATCATCCACACACTGCAGATGCAGGCTTGTATCTTACTCAACACTGCCTGCTTCTGAGCATGGTTAAGACAGCTGCCAGTACACTGCATTATTTTCAGTTATTTTCCAGAGTTTTCTGGGGGAGACTGTCACTTCCTCTGTTGTCACAGTTGCTAATGTCACTGGAATCACAGACACAGTGCTGAAAATGAGCCATGAGTTACATGAATCTCTTCAAAAGGGAAAGAAACAGAAGGACCTGTTGTCATTTCCAAATACAGTGACAAGGATGAGCAGACCTTCCCATAAAGCACCTCAGAAATTTCTGTTAAAAGCAAATATCTTAAGTAGTTAGTCCACATGGCTGCCAGTCATGTCTTCACAGCCAGCCCTTGGGATATGTTTCTGGTTAAGGGCTGCTGGGAGATATTTTGTGCAGTGGCTGAGGGTGAGTTCCTGGCCTGGGTATTTGCTTCTGACTGCACTTTGTATTTGCTTCTTAGGGAAGGCCATGAGGAGTTTGACCTGAAGGACCACCACACCTCCCGCTATCATCTTCCTTGCAAACAGAAGTGACCACGCTTATGGGCAGAAGAGGAGCTGGAGAATGGGAAAATAGAGAACCCAGCCAGATGGGAAGAATCTAAGTGGATTTGCAGCCAAAACGGGTGATGTTTTGGACAGTTAAAGGATGTGCTGTAATTTGAGAGAGGCTTGGAGGGTGTGTGACTTGGTATTCACAAATACACCTGAGAAGTGCAGGGTTTGCTGTGCATGCTTGGGGATCAATGAGAACTCTATAGGAGGAGGTGGATATAAGTCTATAAATACAGATGGTAAAGCAATGTAGGTAGCAGTAAAGATGTGTGTTTAAGGCAGTACTGACTGGCTGATAAATAACTTCCTGCTTTTACTAACAGCTTATACACTGGTTCAACAGGCAGCAAAGCACTTTGCACTGAGAAAAATGTCTGCATTGTGATCACGTGTGTGATGGGAACTTGCAAAGCATAATAAAATTATTTACAGAGGCCTGTGGTTAAAGTCTCTCCTGAAAATGCCTGATAGCCCTTATCAAAGTGTTGCTTTCTTATAATGGTATGTTATTCCTAGTGTCAAGCGGCTTAGGGAAAGACATGAAGAATAGTGAAGTCATCAAAAATGTTTCTGTGGCAGGTCTGGAAAAGATGCAGGGCGGTGTTGCTCACTGACATGAAAGGAAGGATCCTTTGAAAAGGTAATCTGCTACTGATACAGTGTTGTGGCCTGCAGTGGCTGTGCCAAGATCATGTCATCTGTAAGAGCAACATGTTAGTCTGAAAGAGCTGTGTATAAGTCTGAAAGCAGAATTTGACTTTGTTTATTATTTGGTCACCTGGTAGGATAAAAATGGTACCTGTGTGATGCTCTTCATCTGGTTAGGAGCAAATCTCAGTTGCATATGTCCATATCCCTCCTGGGAGACAATCCAGATGCAAGTGGCACTTGCCAGTGCCCAGAACACCCAGAATTGCTTCAAATACCCAAGTAAATTGGCTGTAAACATGCTCTATTATTCCATCAGGATGAGCTCTTTCCAAATAATGTGCCTTCTGAGAGAGCTCTCTAAGGCTGACAATTCCAATTGCAACAAAATAAAGGATTTGCCCTTGACAGGGAATTTCCAATGAATCTTGCCTGTCTGGTTTGACACTGCCACTCCCAGATGTCTGCCTTGCCCCGGTGCTTAAGGTCAGTGCCTCCAAGTTGAAGTGATGAAACAGCGTTTACCTGCACCTCTGGTCAGAGGACAGCAAATGAATGAAACCACTGTTGAAGGTGGGTTTCTGCTAATGTGTTGCTCTGGATCAGTCTCTTCAACAAAAACCTGATTCAAACAATGTAGAATAGTAATACTTTAGGTCAACACACTAAAAATGGCAAGTGTGTCCAGCAGTGCCATCAAAACCTTTTCTTAGGAAGGGGTGGCAAAACCCGACTTCTGAGGAGGATCTTCTTTCTCCTGGCAGCCCTTGCTTCACCAGTGCCTGTCTCCTTGGGACAGGTAGATGGGAAAACTATTTGAGTTGTTCTGATGCAAGAGCTCACAATTAACCCTGTGACACACAAAATTTAAATAAGCTATTTAAGTAAGCCCTGAGGAGCTTGCAGTCTTAAAAATCAAAACAAAATGCTGTTCTTTATTTATGTTATCATAGGAGTGACACTTTTTCATTGCTATTTGACATAGATAATTCATCTGGTAGTAAGACAGCCCAGTTCTATCTGAAGTTAAAGCCTTCATCTTTTACATATACAGGGGAAGGTGCAACTATCTGTTCTTACTTCTCTCCTAAATTGATCCACTGCTTTGGGTTTCAGCCTGTGTCTTCCCCGAGCAGTTAGTAGTAATTTTGTTTCTTGATTTACAGCTGCTGGCTTTTTTTCAATATCTTAGTATAAGCTGGTATGATACTTGCAACATTTTTGAATGCTTCATCAGGCACAACAAAACTTTGAGCTCCCTTGCAGTTAGGCAGCCTCTGTCTTGTAAGCCCTGCCCTGTTCACATCAGTATTAATGGAGCAGGTTGCAGCCGGAAGCAGTTTATTTAGATTCCCAGATTGGTTTCTGTGGGGTCATCCCAAGGAATCCAGAAATGCACCCAACCCATTACCTGAAATAGAACTTAGTCATACATGGAAGACTCTCTTCAAGTCATGCAGACACAAGCTGCTGCTTTCCCTGCACCACTAATGGACATTTTTGTGGCTGCTGCACTTTCTGCATGCAATGGGGCATTTTAGTAGTAGCCCAGTCACTTTCCCCTGAAAAGCCATTCCCACTGTAGCTGTTGCCTCAGTGAACTCCACGTAGGAGGGGCAGAGGGGTACCCAGATGGGCTGTCTGCAGGAAGCACACCTAGCAGAATCTGTGTTGTGAAAGAGGAATGCTGCATGACCTTTAAGTGGGCAGTGCACTGTTAGCTCTGTTACTTACTCCCTATCCTTGTCTTTGAAAAGGTGCTGGTAAACAAAGATTCTGGTAATCAGTCAATTCCTGACAGGCCAGATCACCTTCAGTCATAGCTGTTCAAGGACAGAAGACAGCTTGGCATCTTCCAGAAAGACATTCAACTTCTTTGCTCTTGTCTTTGTAGCAAGTCGTGAGGGATTTTCTTTCCCTTTCAAAATGTTATATATGTGAATTATCAAATGTGGGCTCCACTCCAATAAGAATTCAAATTAGAAAAGTTCATGAACTTTCATACATTGGGTTATCTTGGTATAATCTAGAGGGCAAAGTTCCTTTCAAGCAACATTCATAGATAATATCTACATACTTATGCTAATGGTGATGCTGAGAAACAGCAAAGTTAACTGGAAGATGTTTGTAACAAAAATTTTTCAAGCATTGATTTTAATCTATCCTTGTGGTCTAGTGGGAGAACAGCCAAAATGTAAATCAAACCAAGTGTACTTTACTACTGTTTAAGAATGAAACAAAAAAGAAGTTACTCTGATTGTATTACATTGCTTTTTCTTTTACACCAGTGAACTGAGAAATCATCTACCACTGGCCTCATGTTGCCTTGCTCCCCTGATCTCAGTGTGCTCAGTTGAAGTGCACTCAGGTATCATTATATATCAGAATTCCTTATGTATCAGAACCAGCTGCACATGATAGGGTCTGCAGCTTACTCTTTTCCTGCTACTTGCAAAATAAGCATAAAGACAACTTTGGTCAAGCAGAGTTTTCAGAACCTGCTTTGTCTTTGATTCTAACAATGTCTACCTTAAAGCACAGACAAAAATTCTTTTTGCATCATTCCATATTGAGGAAATACTGTTCTGTAGTTCCCAGGGGAAAGAAGCTATTTCTCTTGGGCCAGAGGAGAGGCATGTCATGTCTTTGTGCTGTTGCAGCTCAGCAGAATAAAACAAAGTCTGTTCGTGGGGTATGTAAGTAATCTGAACTCCTATACTGCTGTGCTGTAGCTAATTGCATCTCTAGTTCAGGACACTCTCCTCATGTCCTGTCCACCTAGCTCTTCCACCTGAACTTCTGTTTGATCCTAGTCTTTTTTTACCAGTGCTCAGAGCTTTTTGTCAATATGCTGCTCTCCTTTCCCAAGGGGTGTGTTACATGAGTTAGCAGGTGAGTCATCCGTAAGCCAGATCTGCAACCATTGCAGGTCTGGATTTAGGTTTTTGTTATGTTACTGATTAAGTTGAGATTTCATGAGGGTAGGCATGTCCCACTAGCTCCTTATTAAGCCAAAATTGGCATGTTCCCAGGGCTACCAAAGACATATATTGGACCTGATAGAGAAAGACCATTTCTCCAGCCTAGTGGGTGAGCTTTAGAACACCTTGGAGCAGTCTTGGAACAAGACATGAGGTCCATGGCTTGCCAACTTCCAGTCAGATACAAGAAAAGCATGTGAAAGGAAGCAGACCCTTACATCACAGTTGTTACTGCAGCTTGGATTTTGTCTTCTTAGAGGACACAACCTACAGTTTGTTCACTGACAGCTGGAAAATTGGAGGGAAGAACAAGATAATAGTCATCACTCTGCTGCTGATAAAGATGGAAAGACTAATGCATTTAAGATATTACTGGTTCAGCCCAAGAATCCTTGTTTGTCTTTGTTAGCTAACCTGCATGTCCCTCTGGTTCCATAGTTGGTCCCTTCTGCCTGGCTCACCAAACAGACAAAAGATGTACTCAAAAGCTGGCCTTGAATGTTCTGCTCTGTAGGAGCTCCTCTGGATGTGACCCACACTCATCTCTTGTGTTTGCATGGCAGGTATCAATGTAGGGACAGGGCATAATGTGAGAGCGCTCTGCCTAAGCAATCAGCCTCCATTTGCTGCCTTATTTCCTAGTCCATGTGTCAAGTTACTGACTTGCTGAGAGGCTGGATGTAGTTTCCTCTGTATTTTTCCAGGCAAATATTAGTTGTAGCCAGAAGAGTTTGTGCAGCAAGGTACTGTGTCCTACTTCCCTGCTCGTTTGTGAGACCTACCTGTCTGCAAAAGTCTCGCTCCGAGATGCTCCCTGAAGGAAAGTTGGGAGCAGGTATTTTTTTACTTCAGTTTTTCTTTAGAATCTAAAGAGAGAGCAAAATCAAGTAGTGCATGGCTGGTTTTTCTGTTTTAATATAAAATAAGTATTTCCCAACATCTTTTTAAACTAGGAGAAAAATCATTCCCAGAATCGTTCCTTTAGAAAAGGCTTCTAAGTTTTAAGTTTTAAATTCCACAAAATGGAAAAAAATATAGCCATTAGCTATAGCAGCTGTTTCACAAACTTGTTAGGTAAACCAGGTGCATCCAAACTATCATATATTTTCTATCCAACCTTCATAAATAAGAGAGGCTTAGTAAGACTTACAAAGTATGTGCAATGCTGTAGAGTCGGGTACAGCAGTAACAGGCAGGAGATCACAGTTGGGTTTAAGCCAGACTGAAATGAGGTGCAGCTTAACAGTGGCTGATTTTCCATGTTGATGAATGAGTGATAACCAATGCCTTGTTTTCCTTGCAGTGGATGAAAAAAAGAAGTCTTGATGGGCTCCTGAGAATTGTATTCAGTGCTCCTTGGCCAGCATGGAGATTCCTAGAAGAATCTAAAGGAGAGAAATCTTTTCCTCTTCCTCAGGTTAACAGACGCTTTAAGAATCAGGAAAATGTACAGTCTAGCTCCCTGCTGTGTGTGTAGATCTGGAAGGAGTGGAGACTTCAAACCACTGGTACAGAGTTCACAAACTTGGTGAAGTTTGTCAATAATAAGTCCTAAACATAATCAGAAGTTCTGTTGCTGATCCTGGTTTTTGTCAGGAAGATACACATTTCCTTTTAATCAGAGCTGGGTTTTCCATGTGAGCAAGGTCATTTCTTCTGAGGATTGGTGACTCTTCGGAGACCTCTCAATCGACTAAGCAGTTCCGTAATGAAGTCCTGCAATAAGAGTTGTTTGCAGAAGGATATCGTATTAATTCCAGTGCTCACCAGCCCAAAGTGTTTTGTGGTATTGCCATCATTCCCACATTCACCCTCACATTGAGAAGAAACCAGAATTTTGACATACATTGAGCAAACCTATCTTTTAGCTTAGGAAAGGAGACCTTGTGATGGATGAGAAGGGTCTAAAAGCTCCTCCCCTTTCCCTGTCTCCCTTTGGAACAGCCATGCTTACTTTCTCCTCAGGAGCTAGCCTGACCCTCTTTATCCCAGATACCTGCTTTTCCCACCATGAGATGACCTCAGGATGCTGTTGTTCTCTTTTAGGTTCCACTGCTTCCTGTTGCCACCATAACCTCCTGCCCACTTGTGCTGCCCTCCCAATCTAGGGCAAAGCAAGCTGTCCCTCTTGTTGAACCAGTAGAGCTCCATGTTGTGAATTGCAAACCATCCTGGAGCTGTGCCAGTTCTGCAAGGAAATGGCTGGCAGAGAAGAGGTGGAGCAAAACATGTAGGACTAATGATAATGTTGAGCAGGGTTTGAGGACAGGCAGAGCAGATAGATGAGCAGTTAATGGAGACAAACCCTGACTACTTTGCTGACACAGCCAAGGACTATGAACTAAACTGGCCTATCTGGTTATTCCAAGCAGAAGGCAATGTAACTGGTGCAAACTTTACCCCCTGCATGGCAAGTAACATCGCCATAAAGAGGTGTGCAGCCTTTCTTACCCAAAGACATCGCTACCTGTTCCTGTAATTAGGCAGGGTCACTGGAAGTATTGCAGCTTGTTACCATTTGTGCTGTGTGGAAGCCCAGCGTCCTCAGTTGGGTGATCAGAGGTTGCCACAACATGCTCTGGAAGTAAATGCCTAGGATCATACCCTTTTTTTCAGTCAGTCCTTTCAGTTTCTTGTCTGCCTTCTGCAGTTAAACTGCTGTGATCTTTCAAGGAAACTGGATTCAAGATCCCCAGGGTGAAAGTATGTATTTTTGCCAACGGGGCAGCAGTATCTGTATTCAGCAGGTACTGTGCTGCCCACAAGACACTTTCATGGCTTCTGACTTAGCAGAACAAACTCTCTTCAGTTACTGCTCTGGGAATGTGAGATTCTTGCCTCAGATCTGACATTCAGACACTCTGAAAACTATTTCATATTGCCAGCTTTGCTGAAACCCCCACTAGGAGAGCATCTGTGATGATTACTACAGGCCAGTTTAATTTCAGTGATACTAATATTGATTCAATGATTGAATTTCAGTCATGCATTCATCTCATTTTCTGTATGTTCAGCACTGCACAGCCACATTGGCTCAACAACACGTGTGGTCTGTTGGATGATGTGCAAGCAGAATGTTCACATGCAGTGCATGTGGCTGAAGCAGTGATGGGGACCACATTTTGCACAGGTGTGCAGTGCAGCAAAGGCAATCCCTGTGTGGTGCATGCACACAGTATTGCCTCCAATTGTGTGGACATTGTGGGAGTTAACTGTCTAATTCAAATAAAAACTTGCAAAGTTTTGTGGGGGAAAAAAATCCATGTATAAAACTGACCTACATGGCTACTGCTCAGCAGTTATCTGCCCCGTCCAACATAAGGACCATTCTACATCCTTGTCACTCATAACCCTCGAGTGTGTTAAGCTAAGAATGCCTTCAGTTAAGAGTGTAAAAAATGGTTATGTGAGCTGTGTCATTGTCAATGGCTTTTCTACACTGAGGATCAAAGAGCAGCTCAGACTGATCATCTTAGGATGTCCAAAAGATGGAAAGAACTTCTCTGATTGTAAAGCATAATTTCTTACTTGCTCTAGTGCTCTGCCTTCAGCTCATTCCTATGCATTTATATGTAATTTTACATCACAGAATAAAGTGGCAAACACTTCCCATTACGATTAAACAAATCTGCAGCATGGTAGTGTCTTGGCTACTCAGCCAAGCAGCAGCAAAGACACTATAACAGAATAGTGTAACATGTATACATGTAAATTTATATGGTCCTTCACTCACCTCTGTGGGGCTGGAGCACTCATGGAGGATTTCCTGAAAAAACAAGGAGTCATCATTTTAGTATTTTATGAGTTGATCTAATTCTCCCCTCCCTTCAGAAAGGAAGGCACAAGAAAGCATCTTGCAACACTACAAACACCTATTCTCTACCCCACATGCCACTAGTATTTATGAAGAGAATTTCACTAGCATAAATCACCAAGACCCTCTATCTGACCTGTAGTTTTATTTTCTGTTCTTCATTAGGGACCTCCAGGAGATCTTCAAGATCAATTTGTGGTTCAGGAGCTGCTGCCTCTGTTTCCTCCCTTAGCTAAAAAGGAAAAAACCACCAGAGTTAATTAACCTTCAAGAACTCTAGAGGCCATCTTTAAAGAACTAAGCAGCTGAGTACAATAAAACCATGCTGCAAAGTTGAGGTCAAGATATAAATCATCTCAAAAAAGGGAGGTTCTTGTAATGAGGGCATGGATTCCAGCCCCTTTGTAGTGTCTGCTACAGCCACACATCCTGATGTACACATTCTTCATCTTTTCCAACCACTACACTGCTCAGGGATCATCACCCGTCATTGGAAGACCATTTCAAGGATATCAAACTGCAGTGCCACATATACCAGCCTGTGACACCCTTCCTCTATGAAGAGTTCACCAAACAGAACTCCAACAGGCTTAACCTTAGAGATGCATAAATAATAGGAGGAGATTTTAGGTCTTTATGCTAATTACACTCACCTACTTTGTATTTATACTAAGGCTTTTGGCAGTAATGGAGAGAAAATGATGCTGTTGAAAGACCTAGCAATATTTTGCCAGCTTTCTCTAATAGATATGAGAGGGCTATAATAGTCTCCTTTAATGTAAGAGGGACTCCAAGTTTTGGTGACTGGAGTGATAATCTTGTAGTGCATGGGGGTGTTAGTTGGAAACATTTGTTCACTTGATCACAAACACATTTTAGCATCACAAATCTCTCTAAGCCTGTGTTTTTCCAGTGTATTTGCAAAATTAATCTTTCACTACAAAACACTAGTGGTATTTTGGCATAGTAATCAGTAGAATAAGGATACTGGGTGAACAGCACAGTTCCTGATTGCCAGGTTGTGGCATTTATGGATGTGTATGTAAAACATTAAACAATAATGGCAATACTTACAGGAATAAAAGAAACTTTTCCTGGGTAGTCACTGATACCAAGCCAGAGAGAAAGTAGAAAGCCCTCATTTAGCTTTGATATGCAGCTAACTTAAGAATAAATAATAAACCAGAATGAAATATATTGCACTGTAACTCACACAGTATTTCTTCTTAAAAGTAATAGTTTTCATGTGACCTTTTAGAAAACAGGTGTTGATCCAGTCTGACTTTGATAAAGAAGCTAAGTAGGCTGGGAGGGTGTGATAGGGTAGGAAGTCCCTGTGGTTTTTAGTCCTAGTGTGGATGCTCTTCTGAATTCCATATGCAAGGAATCATCTTGAAAATCAATCTTAGTTTTGTTGCTAAAAAACCTTGTGACAGTAAACTTCATAGCATTCCCTGTATCAAGGGAATGTATCGAGAGGTGATGTTTGAGCTAACCTTGCTGTCATTTGAATCTCTGGAAGACACCCAGGAACTTTGCACTGCCAAGGGCAGGTGGAGCAAAGTAAGAGGTAACGACAATTGTAATGGAAGTTGATGGATACAAGGAAGCCCAAAGAAGTAGGACAACTAAATAGTCTTGTCACAATGTGCAGAGGAGAGCAGGATGACCCGCTGGACATCTCTGTGATTACAAGTAATTCACTGTGGCACATGTGTGTATATGCAGAGAACCTGTTAACAGTCTCTGACCTTGCACAGCATTATGTTATGTAGTTCCTTGTAGCAAATCTCTTATGCTGGCCTGAATACATCAGGAAGCAGGGAAATCTGTTGTGCTGAAAAGATACTAGCAAGGGCAATCCACTAGCAATCTGTTCCTGTAAGGGCATGGTTGGGTTTCTCACTTGTGCCTGCTGGGATTTTGCAGTAGGAAAAAGAAACCCTTTTGGGCAGCTACTCTGATGGCAGTAAACAGCTCTTAATTCTCTGGAAAACAGAAGTGATAACGTAAACTGACTTGTTTTTCTGACACCTTTGCAGGTGTAAAGGTCTATCTCTGTACACTTCAGCGAGTAGCACATGGACAACCCCATCTTGGGTCATGTTACTGGTCATACCAAGTGCTTCTTGTCTGTCTCAGAAAAAAAAGTGACAAAAATTTAACTCTTTAAAACTGCAGTAATTCTCCAAAGGGCAAGATATTCTGTTACTCAAAGCAGCAGCCATTCTCCTTGCTCATCTCAACAGTCAGGAAAAGGACTCTGAATTGAGCTACCAACTCCAGGGACAGTCCCTTAAATGCCAGTGCTGGCATGGTTGGGAAGCAATATTGTCGCTGCCACTCTTTTGAACAGCCTTCACTCACCAGGACTACCATGCTAGCACTTTGCAGACACACTGAATTTTGCCTGTCTGACTGGATCTGCTGATAACTTCTGCTCCCATGTGCACTGTATAATGTTTCACAATGCATTATCAAGAGGCCTAAGATACAGCTGGGAATTTCTTGTTATTATATTATTATTATTCTTATGATAGTAAGAAATTCTATCATTTCAATAAGCCATAGAAAACAACTGGAAATTCACAACTAACTTGAAGAGATTAGTAATTTTTACTGAGCAAGCTATGTTTGGGAAATCTAAACCAGTTAGTTAACAGAACAGAAGCAGTAATATTTTCAGAGAAGCCATGCATTTGCAGCAGAAGGAAGGACCTTTTTCTCATTATTTGTTTTCTGCCTGTTCTTTGCATAAGGCATGAATTAAAACAGAAATGAACTATTTTTATCTCCCAACATGGCATGAGAATCTGGCACATTCTCACAGAAATATCAAATACACAGTCACACAGGAAGTCACACAGAAAATTATTATAATAATGATTATAATAATAAAAACAACAGCAACAACAATAATAAGGACGGACTTAGAAGCAGTTCCTGAGGTCTGGGTCTTCAGCTGTGAAGGCGACATAATTCTGTAGCTCTCGGGCCCAGAAAATCAGCCTGGGCAGTCAAAAATTTCTGTGTACCATCATGGCAAGTAGCACAAAACCCACCATTCATGACCTGTTCTGAGATATCCACTTCAGTGGTGATTGCAATTTGAAACTGCTGATGCTCAGAGCGGAAGACTCTAAACAATCATCAGCTCTTATTTCCTTGTATCACAAAAGTGTGCTTAACACTGCACTGGGGTGCAAATACAGAATACAGAACAGAAAGGGCCTGGCAGTTCATTTAGTCCATCCCCATCCAGGACATAAATAAGCAGTTTTACACAATTTGTTAAACCCATCTGTGTCATCTGCTGAAAATGGACATTCTCTGTGAGTCAAGAAAGCTGTGTTCTCTTACTGTATCAGCCACTGCCCTAGAGAGAAAAGCAAAATCCTTAATCAAGCCATTTAAATGTGTTTAAGATCATGATGTACAATGGGGGAAAGCCTTTCATCTTTTACTGTACCACACTCCAAAGGATTATCTCAAACACAGAAGAGCATTATTGCTTCTGAAAGCACCCAGTATAACTGTCATGCATCTAAGGACAATATATGAATAGAAGCGATAGTACAGGGTTAAAATTTCAATGTCACTAACCCAGTGAAAAAATGCAACAGCTGAAGCAAAATCCTGTACCATTCAGGTGCTATAGGCACTCCTGGATCTTTCCTACTGGAACAGCTCTTAGGCAGGCAGGAAGAATTTGGGAGGGACTGTTCCTGGTGTGAAGGGAAGCTCAGCAAGGGAGACAGCTCTGGGGATTGGTGAAGATGGAGGCATAAGATCTCTACATTTGAGCAAAGAGTTTTTCCCCAATCTTCCCTGTTGCCAGTAGTGTGTCCAGACTCTGCAGTTACGGATACAGCACATTCCGAAGTGTATTATTCAAACAGCAGGTAGAGCCTCACTGTTGTGTCCAGAAGGAACAGGGCTACACTGGCCACTCTAACCCAGCTAGCTTGGATAGTGCTCACTGCAAAGCCACTCACCACATGGAATTCAGCAAGAAGAATCACCCTGGGTTTATACATCTCCCTAGGTTGTGCTACTCATGCTGAGCAATAGCTACACCCCCCCAGTGGGTGCAACTCCAGGCAGTTCAAAGCCAGTTGGATTGCATCAGTGCAAGCTTCCCTGCCTGCCGACACATCAGTCAGATGCTGCCGAGGGGGCATGGAGATACCTGCTGGAAGTTGAAGACAAGGAACTATTTCCAGTGAAGCAGAGCAAGCAAACCTCTGTGCCAGCACACAGGGCTCTAGACCCATTCACCTGACAAGCAAGTGGTTCCTGTGCCCCAGCTACTCACCCGGCACTGGTACAGCTCCTGCAGCTGGGCGTTGATCCATTCCTCCAGGTCTAGCCAGCGCTGTAGGTCTTTGCGGTTGTACTTTATGGTCAGCTTGCCCAGTTTCCTGTGTGATGATTCCTCCCCAGGTTTCTCTGGTGTCTGGAAAGTCACCCGGGGCAATGCACTGGAGTTGCTGGCCATCCTCACCGCCTCCTCCTCTGACAGCAGGAACCCACTTTCCTCTGGGCTCCCTCACACCTTTTCTCTGTCTCCTTTAACCAAAGCCTCTCTGCAACCAGTGCCTCCCAGCACAAGCTAGTTACAGGCACCACAGGTGGGAGGCATTGGTGATCCTAGGGAGAGAGTTAGGACTGGCCACAGGGCTGGGGCAGCAGCCAGGCTCTGCAGGCTGAGTTATCGCCGCAGACTCTTGGGTTTCACCATCAGATGTGCTGACAGGAGCAGGGAGGTAGGCAGAGTTGTTGTAATAACATCTGTTGTTAAAAGAAGCCAAGTGAACCAGGGAATTGATGAACCATGTTTGTTAATATTTAACACAAGTCAGGTCCAAGAGGTGGGGAAGAAGGAGGTTTTAAATTACTGTTTTCCTACAGGCATAACTTACATGCATGTGCAATTCCAGAGGGTTGATCCATACATAATGTATTGAATCCTACTGCAGTTCATACTCAGTAAACTGCCTGCAGCTACAGGGTTTAGCTCCCTTTGAGATGGTATATTTGGCATTTTCCAGCCAAAGCACTGGACCCAGCACAGATAAGAAGTGGTCTGGAATCAGGCAGCTCATTCATTATTTTACAGCAGTAGGTCAGGAAATGACACTGCAACCCAAAGCTGGGCTCAGCAGTTCCATTTTTAGTTCTATCAGCTCTCTCAGAAATTTCTGTAGAAATCCCAGTGACATGAATTTGAAATTATTTGAGCATGGAAATTCTGGGATAAAAGAAAATATCTGTGCTCAAAAAAGTACAGTAGTTGATCTGATGGCACTGCAGAAGACCTCACTAGGGGTATAGCACCATCTCCTTCCCACAGAAGAGTATTCATGGTAAACAGGTTCACCTGCTGAAGCATCATAAATGGCTATCAGACTATATATTATCAATGCTTGGTTTACAGTTCCTCCCCACCTGGTTAAAGGTCTGCAGCATTATTGCCCTATAACATTGAGAAGAATATGTGTGAGAAGTGCACACAGCTGTTCCGTTCAGAGGAACAGGAATCAGGCTGGCTGTGATTACAGGGTGCCAGGACCCTGTCCCTCCCAATGCTGTCACACCTCTTTATCCAGCTGTTCCCAGAGCCCTCCAGCAGCCTGCCCAGGGAGCTGCCCCACCACATGGACAAACCAAGTGAGACCCTCCATCCTGTCTCATGACTGGAGACACCTCCAGTCCCATGATTCATGTGGGAAAAGCAAGTAAGCCTCTGCTATCAGGAGCCAAGGTATTTCCAGTTTGGAGGCCATGAGCTAGATAAGCCAAAGGAAAAGCAACCAACCCTTCTCCCCATGAAAGGTGCTGCATGAGACAGTCTGCAGAGGAGCTGGTCTATCAAAAGCTTGCCCAGTCCCCTGGAATAGTTCTGTCCCCGGAGGGATGGTGGTGCAGCCAGCCAGCAAAATCTTGTACACAGGGTAGCAGAAAAAAGAGCAGGGCCATTACAGCCCTTTTCATGCTTAATGTGAGAAAAAAAAAAAAAGTAAAATAAAAATAAAAATATTTTTTTAAAAACCCTTTTCAGATGGGAAATTCTGCAATTTGCTTTCATGTACATGAAGAATAAAGTGTTAAAGTATACCTGAAACTGATATTATCTCCACTGTTTCTCTGACAGCCTAAAACTTCTGTTCAGAAGACAACTGTTAGCTTTAATTTTAGCAGCTTTACCCATTTTTCCTCACTGCTTGGCTGTTTCCCTGCTCTAATTCCACTCCTAAAACTTCCTTATTTAGATCAAAGTTACACAGAAAAATCTGTGTTGAGAGGCTTGTAGCATACTTAGTGAGTGCAGATTCTTCAGAGATTCTTAACTAGTGAAAACCTTGTAAAACCCATTGAACAACTTACAATGCCTTTACAACTATTGGCTTTTCAAAGGTTAATATGGCCTAAAATGGGCAGATATTCACAAGGTAAGTCTGGACCAAAGGACACACATTCAGGTGATAAATTCCTGTCCCCAAATAGAAGCGCTCTGTTTTGGTGTTCAAGGACTGACATATTTGAAGGGGGAAAAGAGGGGGGAAACTGTGCCTCTTTGGTCCCAAGAATCTCCAGAGAGGCTGGCAGAAAGCAGAAAAAGAGGGTCAGACTTAAAAGAGAAGCTACTTGTTGTCTCTGAGTCACTCCAAATGTCTGCAGTGGCTGAAGGGCTGGCAGGGAAGCCCCTTTCTTCCATCCCCTGTGCTGACTCTGGTGCTCTTGAGCAGTTTAGTTAATCTCTACATGAAAGGTGGGGTTGCCCTGTTAATATTCTGCCAGCATGGTTGAATTTATGAAGCAGAGGATCCAGAAGTCACAGGAGAGCTGTGAAAATGAGGAAAAATGGAACATAATGTCCTCTAGTGGCTCTTCAGATAGCTTGAACCATGGTTAAGTTGTAACCTCACTTGAGCTGAGGTGCCACATCTGAAAAGGTCCACAGGGCTGTTCTCTGAGTAACAGACTCACCCCAGACTCCAACAGACTCCACCAACAAAGTAACAAACAAGGGGCACAAGCCCTCGTGCTGCTCCATCAGTGCCACCCTGCAGCTGAACAAGACATTCGGAGGATGATGTCAGAGGTCCTCTCAGGAAAGCTGCAAGCCAAAATGAGCCAGATTACAGGATGTTCATCATACTGCTTTGGCTTATTTCAGCTTAGTCATGAATTTGTTGTAATAAGAAGGTGGCAATATAGAAACAAAGGTTTACTGATAAAGTAGGCCTCGTCCAGTAATAAAATGTTTTAATCTATGATTAAAGCAAGAAGAAGCAAAACCAGTGCAAGATCAGTGGGTGTGGCAGAAGTTCCTGCAGGAACAGGACTGGGTGCCTCATTCAAGGTAAGGAATATTGTCCCCTTGAATGAGGCAGCATCTCCTATGGGTGCCCAGCCACCTGCCAGTGCTGGTAAATGCCAGCTGCCACCAAAAAAAAAAAAAAAACAGCTTCAAGATTTCCTTCACAGTGCCACACCCCATACTGTCCTTTGGTTGCATCACGGCAGATTCACAGGGCCAAAGGGACAAAAAGGCATCACCATTTTGTTCAGACAGAATCTCAGAGATCTCAGGCATGGCTGGGAGATGGAATCTTATTTTCAGCCTAGTTATCTCTCCCTATAGCCTCAGGCCTACAACCTGGAGCAAAATTTCTGGAGTCAACACACATACTTGGGCAACTGAGTCATCTAATCAGACAATCTGTTTTTTCACAAGAGCTGTGCACATGTAAGCTCCAATGGACCTCCTGCTGCAGTTGTTTGTGATCATCTTCTCTGCAAACCTGCATATCATTTATGTTGGTGAATAAAGGGAGTTTAAACATGGCCAACACATTTGAATTGTTAGACTGAAAGAAGCACTATGCCTCAATTTCCGTGTGTGTGACCTGGGGTTGCTGATCCTCCAAGCCTACCCTAAAAGTGAGGTGCCTCTGAAGGGAGGGGAGGATTCAGCACTGTGGAGTTGGACTTTTATGGCTGTCTATGGTGCCAGAGAGGGCCACCAAACTAAGCTGTGCATAGGCATCATAGTACCAAACAGCTGTGACATTGATCCAGCAGAGCATCCAAGGGCATGAGTCAGATCCAGTTACACTCCTCTGTTCCTGAAGCTAGTAATCTCCATCCCACACCTGTGACCTAAGCTGGTGCTTCTCTTTCTTCCTGAGCTGATGACTCTGGTGTGTGCTTAATAATTCAGCAGGGCCCCAGCTCATCTTTCCACAGAACCAGGTTGGCCCCTTTCCCTTGAGTCCCAGCCTAGTGAGGAACATTTCCCTTCAATACAGCAGAAGCCACTCTCCACCTGCTTTAGAAAATAATCACTTTCCCTGTGGTTGCAAGTGTGGTGGTTAACACAAATTAAACCAGAGAAGCCAGCAGAGGTGACTGTATCAATACTACAGTGACACCACAAGGTAAAGAGGTTCTGTTCCTTCCTGGGAACAGGAATAGGCACAGAAGAAATGTTGTGCAAGAAGACAACGTAGCCAGGACTGGAGATTTAAAAAAATCCAGAGTCCTAGATGAGCAGCTCCAGTATACCCAGCATGCTGATGTCCATCATCCATTTTCTTTATTTTTCAGTGTTTCCATGGGAGCATGAAAACCAAAAAGCCTGCATCATTGCATAGAGTTCCAGTGCAGTAGGGGGAGAATGCATCATCTCTCACCCTCCACTTCTGGAGACGTAGGGAAGCAGAAAGGAATATCCAGCTCATATAGTCCCCAGCTTCACCTGAGAAGTACTGCCACCTTCCCATCAGCACAGGCTGAGAAGCCTTTACATTCTTCAGCCAGGTATCAGTAATCAGCCTTATTCCTTTCTCCTGACAGGCTCGCCTTTCATAAGGCACTGAAAGGGCATGGGAAGGAATAATGACAAGTGTCAGAGGAAAACATTTCCCAATTTGATTGACCCAAATTGCATTATTTGGCACTCTTTCAGAGAACAGAGAGGTCTCAGCAATAAAGAGGTCAAGTGAGCTGGCCTGCCCACCTGCCCTTCCTCTGGCCTCAGTTACTGGCAGCCAAGTGAAGCATAAAGGCTAATGTCTCATTAGCAGCTCAGAAGGGTAAATGAGAAATAGCTGTACCTACTCCTTTGGCACACCAGTTTTCCTTGTCTGTGTCCATTCACAGACTGGCTGGAGGTAGCAGGTTGAGTAAGCATCTCCACTGAGGAAGAAGACCCCCTTCCCCTTGAATACTTGGGTGAAGCTGACAACATGAATTAGATGCCAAAATAATTGCTTGGAGAGCTTTGAAAACCTGCCCATGCTGCTTGTTTCTATCCCTCTTGTTTGTTGCTCTCCCTCATTACACTGCTGTTTCCCTAGAGGAAGAGGTCTGAGACACTGATAGCATGATCCATGTTTTCCTGTAACACAGAAGTTTCAGCAAGTCTTTGAATGGTGGAGTTGGAGACAAGAAAAACACGGCTGAATAGTTGAAGGGGATCTTCCTTGTTTT